ATTGAAGAAAAGTGCAGATACACTTTGGGGGATCCAAAAAGAGCTGCAGTTTTAAGTCTTGTACCAACCACTTCACTGTCTGGGCTGCAAATGGATGTTAGTTGGGGGGTGTGCATATTGCTCTTTTTATCTGCTCTATCACTAAAGCAGTAAAATGATGATCTAGGACAAACATTTGTTCCCTAAATCAGACCTGGGGATGGGCCATAAAGCCTGCCAACTCTATCCTGAGGTGAATACTTATCATGTGTCGTTCTGTATTGGTTAGCATACAATTGTTCTCCACCTCCGAGACCCCACTGCCAAGGTATTTACTGTGTGTGATAGAATTTCTGGTACCTTCACTCAACATGCCAAGTCCAGCTTCTTTCCCCCAATCACATCTTGGGCTCTAGTGTGTAAAGTAAATCCAATATTGCATGTCTTGTGCATAACTGTCCTAAGGATTTTATTTTGTGTACGATATTTATCCGAATAGTGTGTATTTGCCATATAATGTAAAAAGAACTACATAAAAACAGTGCAACTATCTGTTCTACCAACTAAAACACCAAATAAACCATGCACAGTGACAAAAAAAAAAAAAGAGGAATGGAAAGAGGAAACACGAGGAGAATGTGGGACCAGTAATAGACATCGAGGGAACCGTGACTGAGCCGTTGACTCTGAATGTGTGTGAATTGTTGAACGTAAAACCATGATCAGCTCTGAAAACTTTCACTTAATGCACACCAATTTTTTTAATTCAGTAGTTCCTTTGACTCAATGGATAGAGAATCACATATTCTATGAAGTTAACACAATGAAGGAACAGCAAAATGGGGAAGCAGAACATTAACATAAGGAGAAAACATTGGTGTGTGGGTGATAAGCACAAAAAGCAATATGTCAGATCTTTGCAGTTGCTAGGATTGTTTTAAGGTAAACTGTGAGTTTCATAACAGGTTAAAGAGAAATTTTGAATAATTTTTGTAATGGGAGGAAATAGAAGAACCAGATTGAACAAAACTTCTCTTGGCACTTAAATGAAAAAGTTGCTCTCATGGAGTTTTATGTTAGGAGTTAATTGAAAGATGTAATTAATAGTGTCCTTAATGTAGCTCTACCAAAATAATACATTAAGATATTTTCAGGTGGATATTTCCCATGCTGCCTGTAGGGCATGATATCAACCAAGAAGGTTATAAATAATATAGCTATTAGAATGGTATTTTGTCAGTGTGCATATTTTAAAAAATAAATATTTATTAGCCTACTATATATCTATGTCAAGATTTCTACCATTCCTTTTTCAGTTTCCCATACTGTGGTGACTTGTGCTTTGCTGTGATGCTGTATGCTATGCCACCAGGATTTCAAATGCCAACAGAGTCACCCAGGGTGGACATATTTCAGTGCTGGAAACTCTCACTGACCTATGCCAAGAAATTTAGTAGACAGCTGCCTGTCCAACTGACTGGAAAAGATCCATATTTGTGCCATTCCAAAAAAGAGTAGCCAACAGAATGTAAAAACTATTTTAAAAGATCATTAATATCAAAATGAAGTAAAATTTTGCTGAAGATAATTCAAAAGCAATTGCAGCATTACATTGATAGGGGGCTGCCAAAATTTCAAGATTCAGAAGAGGATGTGGAACAAGGGATATCATTACTGTTATCATGAGAATCTTGGCTGAACACAAAAAATAACAGAAAGATGTCTATTTGTGTTTTGCTAACAATTCCAAAGAATAACAAATGATGAATAACATTACAAAGAATAGGGATTCCAGAACACATAATTGTGCTCATGGAGAACCTGTACATAGACCAAGAGGCAATTACTTGAACAAAATAAGGAGATACTGCTGGGCTTAAGATCAGAAACAGGTGTGTCAGAATTTCATACTTTTAGCATACTTACTCCGTCTGTATCCTGACCAAATGATCCAAGAAACTGGGCAATATGAAGAAGAACTCAGCATCAGGACTAGAGGTAGGTGCATTAACAACCTGTAATATGCAGATAATACAACCTGGCTTGTTAAAATCAAGGGAAATTGAGGCACTTACTGATGAAGATCAGACTAAAGCCTTCCATGTGTCTTATACTTTAATGTTCAAATTCCGCACAAGTGGACCGATTAAGTAACATCATGAGAAATGGAGAAAAGACTGAAATTGTCAAGGATTTCATTTACTTAGATCCACAATCAATCCCCATGGAAGCAGCAATCAAGAAATAAAAGAAACATTGCATTGGGCAAAGCTGCTGCAAAAGACCTCTTTCAGAGGCCACTTTGAAGATTAAAGACGCACTTACTTGAAGCTATGGTGTTCTTAATCACATCGTACGCATATGAAACTCGGAAAATAAAAAAAGAAGACCGAAACATTTTTTCTGAATTAATGTGTTGGCAAAGAATATTGAAATAATGGTGGTCTTCCAACAGAACCTGCAAATCAGTTTTGAAAGAAGTACAGCCAAAGTGTTTCTTAGAGGCAAAGGATTGTGTCCTTTGGACATGTTATCAGGAGGAACTAGTTCCTCAAAACAGACAGCAGGCTTGTGAAAGCAGAGGATCTGCTATAAAAAGAAGGCCCTCAGGGAGCTTGGCAAACAGCGGCTGCAACAATGGGCTCACCCAAAACAGTGTGAGGGTGGGGCAAGACCAGGCAGTCGTTCTGTCCTGCACACAGTGGCTAGTAACCAGACTGCAGGCGCCTCAAAAGTGAAGTTAAGAAGTTTGGAAAATTACAACTCACTGACCAAATGTGCCTTGCCACATGTTTTGTAAATAATTTTATTGAAACACAGCCTCCCCCAGTCATTAACAATATTGTCTGTAGCGGCTTTTGTGCTATAACACTCGTGGTATGTAGTTCCCACTGAGACCATGTGGCCCACACAGCCCAATAAAGTATGCACTATCTGATTCGCTACAGCAAAGTATACTGTAAAATACTGTCTTAACACAGTTTTGAAGCCCTGTCTGTTCCCCATGGTTAGCAACTAATTAAGTCCAATTCCACTCTTCAGCCACTCCCTGTCCAGGTTCTCTAGCTTCCGCAGACTTCCGAATCGCCATCTTAATCACCCAGGGCCAGACACCCAACAAGTTGGGAGAGCCATTTTGTATCCCCGAGTCTGCAAAATTTTTCACAATGTCCAATTCCCATGAAGCCCATGAAACCTAGGTAACCCTGCCTGCTTCCATACATCAACCATCTCCTACAATTCCAGCTTGTTGTCACCTTGTCCCTGGTTGCAGTCCCTTGTGTGGCCCTGAATGCTTGCCTTTTGTATCTCTGGGAACTGTGAGGATAATAAATCTAATTACTATTCATGGCCTCTTTGACTCCTTTTTCACACTTTGCATCTGATTTACTACACCATAAATTTATTGGATCACTTACCTTTGCCCTATATTAGGAATTAAAACACCACCACCAACAAAAAACCTGCTATTGATTATTCAGGCTCATAACCTGAATCTCATCAAGATTCTAAATCATTAGGGGAACAGACCAGCTTGCACATTAGAACCACTCACCCTGCAGTTAGCAGCTCAATGCCTCGCCCAGCAGTGCCATTTACCCACTGCCATCAAGTCAATTCCAACTCATAGTAACCCTCTAGAACACAGTAGAATTGCACTTTGAGTTTCTGAGTCTGTAAATCTGTACTGGAGCAGAAAGTCTCAGTTTTCTCCCACAGAGCAGCTGGTAAAATCAAACTGCTGGCCTTGCAGTTTGCAACCTGATATATAAACCACTACACCACCAGGGCATCATAAAGTGCCACCAAGGGTCCCTATATTTGGAAGAGTATAGAATTATGGCTATTATCTTCTTGACTGTTATTCCTGCCTTTTCAAGAGCTCCTCTCCTTCAGTGAAAGGAAGCCTCTGACTATAGAATCTGGCAAAAATCAAATCAAAAGAGGGATTATACTGGATGGGCCTGGTTTGTCAGATAAAATAAAACAGGAACTGGATATTCTCTGGAATAGGAAACTTTTCTCCTTTGCGGACTTTAAAAAAAAACAAACAAATGGTGGCAGTGGGAGGTGGCCCGCTGATATGGTCAAGAGGTCAGGCACCAAGAGTGGTTTCTAGGAGCTGAGGGCCTCCCTCATGAAGAACTGAATTTTACCAACAACCAGGTGAGCTTACCGGGAAATCCCAAGGCTCAGAGTGCACCACGGCCTCAGGAAGCACCTGGGTTCAGCCTTGGGAGATCCTGACATAAATAAGCCAGCTAAGCCCTGTACAGACTCATGAAAACTGAGAGACAACAAATAGTTGTTGTTTTGTCACAAATTTTTTCTACAATACACTATTATTTACACATGAGAAATAATCATACTTTTATGAAAGGTCTCACTTTTTAGAAATATACACTGCAATATTAAAGAGTAAAATGTTGTGATGCCTATGATTTGCTTCAAAATGACTGAGA